ATTTAAATAAAATTATAATTATACAATTACTTTTTTATATATCTTTATTTCTTGGATGACTTTGAAATTTTCAGTTTGATTTTAGAAGAAACATTAAGTAGTCAGCTTATAAATAAAATAATAAATATATTTAAATATTGGACTAAAAATTGAATAAATAATAAATATATTTATAAATATTGGACTGAAAATTGAATGTTTGATATTCAGCAATTTTAACGCTTTTCTGAGTCTATATTCGTACATTTAAATTTAGCGTAAACAATATCATCATCCAAGCCAACCAAAGCGCAATTGATTAAAGGAATTAATTTTATTTTACTGAAATTTTGCAAACTATTTTCTACCTATTTTATTTCTTATTGTCTTCTCTCTATAAATGCAATGCACAAGATAATTAAAATTTTCTTAAGACATAAATAACTATATGAATGAAAAACAGAATTTGTATTATTACAATTAATCCCTCCCTCCTCTCTCCCCTTAAAGATTATTTTAATTAATTGAATATCCTGATAAAAACAAGATATTTTCGCGTTTAAATGACAGCTAAAATGTCTCTGTCACTCTTGTAACACAATAAGAATTACATAAATATTTTAAACATTATTATCATAATTTTTAATATTATTTATAGCTATTTAATATCCAATCGAAAATAATAATACATCAAAATTATAAATATTAGATAATTACAAAAAAGTGACAATTACAAAAAAACATATGTGCAATCATTAACGTTGCATCTTATTTTTATATATACAGGTTTCGTGTCATGAATGTGCAATATTTCGCTCGTCATGTATATGCATTATTTCGCTCGAGTGCGGCTATACATTGGTGTATCTACCCTGTAATTAATACTATCTACGGGTTCATGGTTCAACATTATCCGATAAAGATCTATATTGGTTGTTTTCCATTATGCAATACTTGTACGTTTCTTGAAACATGTGCAATATTACCGCGAAATAACTTTCGCGCGACCTCTATTGCTTCAAGTAATTAATCCCATGTAATTTATTACATAAGTTAATTAATTTACTTTCTCATTTAATTTACAATATTAATTTTGTTAAATCATTTATACGTCAACAGATTGCAACTATTTAAGCTTGATTTTTTTACACAATTTAAACTCTATATCAGAATTAAAGAGACGCGTTATTATGTTAATTAAAATTAATTAAAAATTAATTAAAAATTAATCAAATTATGTATATATATATCTTGATATTTAAATTAATGTTTATTATACATGTTTGAAAAATTATTTTTAAATAAATTTTTACATGTAAAAATAATAACGTCAGTTAGTTCAATTCAATAGTATGTTCAAACAGTAACGTCATAGAGCACTTATAAATAATACCTTTTCTTCATTCTCCTTATCCATTTGATAACTATTCACGTAATTTATATTGTACACGGTACAGTCACGGCGAAAGTGTAATAGGTATGAAATAATTGCTTCCTATGTGTAATTGCTCGCTCTTTCCACGACAGTCATTTGTAGCAGTCCGGTGATCGCGCTTATTCCCCGTCCGTCTGATAATCGCTTTTCGTGCCGCGCGTACATTACAATGTTAACGACAGAAAAAAATAATATTAACACGAAGCAATCAGTGCTGAGAAGGCATTTTGCGCGGAAATGGCGATTTTCTGCCAACCAAGAAAAACTTACTGCGAGGCTTATCTTTTCTGCTCGAATAACGCAGGACAATGTATATGTAAATGTGAACACTGTAATAAAGATTAAAGAAAGAAAAAGCTATCAAAGGGTAGAATAAAAATAATAATTGTGACTACTACTTCACTATAAATTTCTGGAAAAAAATTCGGATCTCTATTTACGTGATATTTTTTTTCATGTTTTTAATGTTATTAACGGAATATGCTGATGAAATTTAAATTTAGTGCGTTTCGAGAATATTATTTAAAAAAGGGAAGTAATTAAAATAATAATGTGCCGCCCATACCCAACTTCTTGCATATGCATTGATAGATCTAGGTTATCTATCTGTGTTGCTGCAACGTCATGTATGGATGCACAGAGAACGATAACGTCGACCGAGTTACATCGTTGCACCGGTAATCGTATGGCGATCCTCCTGACGGATATTCTCGATTTGTCGCCTTATCTAATCGTAAGCGGATATGCGCGTCGTAACCGCATGCGGCCAATCGAGCAGCGAGGTGACTAAATTTACAAATACGATGTCCTACTCAAACTCGGCGACATTCTAGATGCAATATACAGTGCACTCTATCTGAGTAAAAATAAAAATAAAATAAAAATATCTTGTTTTGCCTTAAGAATGTGTGTATATATGTATATAGAATAAAACGTATGCAGAAAATTAGAGAACAAAATTGAGTTATTTTTTATTTCTAAAACAATTTGTAACTTAATCGTTTTAAATTGATATAATAATTTAGCATTTAAATTTATTTGTGTCATTTTAGAAATGTTGCTTCTAAGCAGAAATTTCTCTTCTGAAATTGACACTTGCTTTTTTAAAATATTCGAAAAAAAGATATTGTAATTATTTCCACTTTCTAAATCTTTGTAGAAATAAAAATTAACAAGTATCAATGTCAAAAAATCTGTTATCATTACGAGAAACGAGCATGTCCAGCATTTGTTAAATAGTCGACAAGATTACTCTCGAAATGAGATACAAGATTCCAAGGATATTTGTATAAAACGAAAAACGTAAAAAGAGAGATAGAGGAATTGTTGGCAGACGGCCATTGAGAGAAATATGAACTGAGAGCTTGCTTCCACGGTAACACGTAATAAATTCTGTCATGGGGTGCCAGCAGACAAGCACATGGAATGGAACATATTATATCGTGTATGGAAAAGAGAAGAAGTTGTCTTTATTTACCTACAAGACATGCATATTTCTACCTTGACGGTTAACATATCGCTCCAATATTACCGTTCCCTCAAATTATAATATCAAGTATCAAATAATTAAACTTTTACTGAATTTAATTGTAGGTAAAAATCGTATATGATATAAATCCGCTTCGTATATCATATATATTATATAGATCTTTTTGCATAATATATTGAACAATTAATAAAATGCTTTACACAGATAAATATATATATTAATAAAATGCTTTACACAGATAAAAATTTCATAAAATTTTTAAAGAATAGAAAGAATGTCTTCACAAAAGACTGAATTTTTACTCAATAGCATGTCTAATTATTACACATAAAAATCAAGGAATAAAGGCTGTTATTCTCAGGATGTCCCTTTCCCTCCTGAACAATGAAGGGAGTATCGATCGTCGGAAGAAGGCGATAAAACGGTACGGGGAAGCCCCCTAAATGGCAGAGGTTTATTTTTAGTCTCTCGTGTACGCGGTTCGCGATAGAGAGAAAGTCTCGATTTTGTGCTGACGAAGCGCACGCGCTTCTCATAGCGCGTCAAGAGGTATTTCTCGATGAACCTGACTCAGCCATCGGTCGCGCGGTGTTGCGCACGGTCAATGACATTGCTGGAAACAACTTTCTTTATTGTTTCGAACGCGCATATTGATTCTTTGATCGAGATGACAAGGATGATAAATAATTAATGTAATTAATAGTTCGTTGATTAAAATTAAATTGAAAGGACAGCCGATTCACATTAAGGTATTATTAAGGCGCACAATAGTGCTTTTACATTGATCAAAATGTTTCGATTTTACTTTATATTATTTTCAATCGCAATTTGTTTAAATTACGAATTCTAATCGATAAATATATATAGCAAGACCTGAAAGCACTGAGAAAATATAATAAAAATGTAAAAAAGAGCCTAAATATATATACAGTTATTGCTATATAGTTATTTTTTAAAAAGAAATTATTTATTAATTCACTCATTCTTCTCCGAAAATATAGAAAAATAATTATAATTTTAAATATCATAAAAAATGGCAATTTTATACTCGTACAAACTCTTCTCGAGTAATTGCGTATTTTTTAAGAAAAATGAAAGGCTATTAAATATGAAAAATGCGCGTGATAAAATGTCTTATTGATTAACAAACGATAAAATACTATGATGAATATATATATATATATATATATATATATATATATATAAGAAATATATAATTATTAATAAATTGTTTGATATCTTTCTCATCAAATCTCAAAATTCGAATTTATATTCTTACTTTTCGTTATAATCACGCTGACGAAATTGCAACCGCTATCAAAATGAAAGTGTCAAATAACTCGTGATTGGCACGTTTCCAATCTGCTGGTGATCTTCGATTCGCTAGCAAAAAATATTTTTTCCTATTTTGATTACATATATTACAGAAATACTCTGCTTCAATAAAGTATGTGCCAAAAAGTTAATCATAAATTAACATGAATCATAAATTATAAACCACAGATCCAGAAAACTATAAAAAAATATAATAACTATAAAAAAATATTAGATAACACATTCGTACTTCAATATTAATTATTTAAATTATTTCAAATAAATCAAATAAATTCCCGATTCAGCGACTTTGCCTCGATATTTTTCCTGCCTACATCTCTCCAGGGGGGTAAAGGGGGTGTTATAGAAGTCTCAAACTAAGAGAGTCTATAACTTGGCATATATGTATATGTCTTAAAAATTTTTTCGCAAACTATTAATGTTCGAAAAATTTACGCATTACCATCCGCGTTTTTTAGGCTCTCATTGCTCGTTTCTTAATTATCATGTTGTTAAATACATAGAGCCGTATTATTTATCAATTTATTTAAATCAAATAAAGTTATTCCAAATAAATTTTTGAAAGTCTGGTCATTAAGTACGATTACGAAACATTTACAAGATCTGCGAAAATCTAAATGTGGAATTTTATTTAGAAATTTAAAGCTGCATATCTTCAGAATTTCATATCGAAATATATCGTGTGACCTGGATAAATTAATTATTGAATATTGTAACGCCGTCGAATGCGATACGGATTTGGATACAGAAACGATCGCGTACCTTGGCATCCCGACTCTTCATTTCCTGTCTCCTGGGCATGGTATTCTCCCCATCGGCGTACACGAGATTCCTAATAAATCCATTGAATCTTGGCTCGAATATCACGCTGGGCAGCGCTAGCAGTGTGAGCTTGCTGTTGTACCAGCTAGGCATACCGCCCACGTAGACGTCCGAGTTCCCGGCGAGCTTGCCGAACTCGAACTCCTTGCCGCGCGACGTGGATACCGCGCCGACACCGTCCACGGTCAGGGTGGTATTTTCGTTGCACCTAGTGATCTGCACTTTGTGCCAATGACCATCGCCGAGATCATGACCGACCGTGACAATCTGCGCACCACCGCCGAGGTTGTACCTCAGCCTGAGCGCGCTCTCGACCAGCTTTACCTCGAAGAAGTCGTACGTGCCGCCGTCGTCCGTGTAAAGCAGCAGCCCGTTACCCTGCTCGGTCTTGAATTCAAATTCGAGGGTGCCGTTCAGGCCGGCGTTCCATTTGCGAAATTGTGCGTAGCTGGTCGCGGAGCCCTCCAGCAGAAACGAACGGGCCACCTGGCAGGCGAGCAGGAGCACCACCGGCAGAAGCGGCGCTGGTATAAGCGAGGGATGACGCATGATTCGCTCTTGAATCGAAATCCTTGCCCCTAGATCCTGCTCATTAGCCTGTTAGATATGAAAGCGCGATGATGTCACGCGCTCATACGCATTCCGCGTAGGAGTCCGAAGCGTGGGTGCGTGACGTCGGCCACGTTGTGACACCCGGCTGCCGCATCCGTGAGCACGTGAGCACGCACGCGCGATTCGTGCGAGATGCACCCGTGGTGGGTGCGATACGCGTTTCGCGAGAATACGCGCTGTTTCTCTCTCGTGCGTGTTTCTATCTCTCTTTTTCTTACAATATAAATATCTCAAAATGCCTTCGATGAGCGTTTTCTTGAGCTCTCGTAATTTATTAGGAAACGATCTGAGAGAGAGGGTTGTTACTCGACACCGTCTCGAACAAATCTTTAATTTGTAATTTGTCTTTGTAGTTAAATTTCAAAATCCTTCCTTCTTTCTCTCTCTCTCTCTGTCTCTCTTCTTCTCTTTTTATCTTTTTCAAGATAATTTACAATAATGGAGGTTTGTGGAAAAATTGCCTTGATAATAATTATTCGTAAAATGATACTTTATCTTCGATAAAATTACTTTAACTAATGAAATTCATTCATTGCTTTAATAGAAATCGATATTTCTGGATATGTTTTCAATTTCAGGTTCAGTCATTCAATTGAATGCATCAAAATTCGTAATGCTTCGAATATACTCTAAAAATATTCGAGTTGCAATAAGAATGCACATCTTTCTCGGTGCATCAATCAGTTCACAATGAAAAGTTTCCTGGAAAACTTTAATCAAAAGTTTTTTATATCACTTTTTTGTGATCTATAAAAATTAACGAGATTGAAATATTACAATAGCATCTTTGTCCAGAGAACATCAATTACATATTTATTTCTTGCATTGCTCGATTAGTGTAATGCAACTTTTTTAAGTATGACTATCATCTCTTTGTGGAAAATTATCAATTCAACTACAAACTTAAATACATTCGAAGGAACAAAAATAATTTCTCAACGTTCTGTATAATCGTTCTTGCAATGCGAACTTTCTTTCTTTACACAACCCTTATAGTTAACTTTTTTATTCTCTCTAGGATTTTGATTTCCGAGAAGCTGATCGATTATTTCACCGTATTGGATAGATGACAGTCGAAGACGACGAAATACAACTATCGAAAAAGAAGTTAAGTCTCCAGGAATTGATGATTCACGTATTCACTGAAGAAGTTTCGATTTATTCGAGAGTCCAGTCAGCAAATTCTATCGAAAAGATTAGGATATGGAAAATTCAATAATTATTAGACGACCGTTAGTGTGACATTCAGTTTCTTCCTGTCTTTCACGGTTCTTGAAGGATCCTCGAATTGATTGCGCATAACAATCCAAGCAGCTACCACGACGTCGAGGGAGCCGTTATCCCTCGTATTGCTTCGTGTCGAGGGTGCCTTGCCGTGATCCCCTCGGGTCGTCTCGTAACACGTCGCGTTGCAATGGCACACTTTCTCCTTTAGTGGGATATATATACGTATACGTTTCGGGAAAGACGGCCTGGGAAACGACACACGAAACGTCTGCAAATCAGTCCGGAATCGCGAGGGACGTCATCTAACCTCGACGAGCTTCATCTCCAGCACCGAAGGTCACCGGATAGAGAGCGGTCCCAGCGACACGACCTCGACCTAATCACGCGATGAGGCACTTTCACCACACACCAGCTCTCTGTATCCCTCCCTCTCCCGGCGTCGCGACGCAGAATCGCAGAGAGAGAGACACGGGGGATGATCGCACGGCGACGTTCGTGACGACGCCGTTCCGGACGTGGTGAACTCGTGGTTGGCGTCGAATGGCGCCGGCACAGCACGAATCGCTTGTTCAAGCCGTCGGACGACTAGTACTCTGAACGCGGTTCACTCTCGAGTCAGCCATCCGTTCGTATCGCGATCGATCCGGTCGCGCGCTCCATTTTTCTCTCTCTCTCTCTCTCTCTCTCGCTCTCGTTCTCGCTCTTCACCACCCGGAAGCTCTCTCCGAAGCGAAACTGGATGTGTAAGTCGAACGCGCGCGCAAAATTCACGGAAAATTCTACCCCACCATTATCGCCCTAATAAATGGTCGTGATATCAGTTGACCGATTCCCGGAGGGTTGGATCAGTCGACCCTCTCGACGACTCCCGGTTTGATACTAGCTTGGCGAGACAGAGCGACGCTCGGTCGGGACGCTCGCCTGCCGATGACGATGGTGCGACGCCCCCGGCATGACGCCGACGCCAACGCCGACGACGACGTCGACGCCGACGCCTCGCGCCGTTCCTCTGCGCAGTCGCGCGTCGGGGATGAAGACCGGAGGAGAAAGAGGGAAGGAAGCACGGTGGTGCGAGAGGGTGCTGTTCTCTTCATGTCGGTGCCTGTCTGTCTGTCCGTTCGTTCGCTCGTCGTATAACCTGGCTAGGACCAGATGAGGATGCCGGAGGGACGCGGATAATGTAATGGTGTGCACCTCCGGTGAAAACGTTAGCGACGAAAGGCGCTGAAAAATTGTTGGGCGAATCCGCGGTCGAAGACCGGAAAGAGCCCTTAACCGAAGCTGTGTCGATTCGCTCGGGACACATTCTGCGAAACTTCCAGCCGCTTCGTGAATCGTTGATCGATGATGAGTTTCGTTTCTCGAAATCGAAATATCGTATATACAGGGAATTAGTCGATCACATAAAATTTTCAATTTTAGACGTTTGCACAAATATATAAGAAATATATCAGAAAAGGAGAGAGAGAGAGAGAGAACAAACTTTATATATTTATTGTTAAGTTACTTGTCTTTGTTAAAAATAAATCGTTTTCTATATATTTCTATATATTTTTTTTTCAATAATACGTAATAAGACATGCAAATAATATTTAAAAAATTTTATACACATACATGAATATTGTTCAAATTATTCAGAATTTTCTATGACAATCTTTTGTTATCAATTAAATTATTATCAGAAATTCAAATAAAACAAAACAAAAAGAAAAGATGCTGCACAAAAGTACTGTATAAAGGTGGTTCCCTGATCCGAATAACAGGGTGATGTGTAAATGTCTGCCGAGAGAAAGGTAAAACCTCCCCAAATTCACGACTCGAGATGCGCTGAGAAAGCATGGTGGTCGCAAAAATCACCGATTCGAGAACGATACAACACGAATCGAGAAATGGCGAACGACGATTTCGCCTGGTCAGAAATTCAAGGAGAGCCGTCGAGAATCTTCAATGTTGATCCTCGAGTCTGCAATTTCTCTATTGCAAAAAAATCGAGGTCGTATAAATACATGATTAATACTGTTATTAGCATTTCGTACTGAATTTCGATTTCTGTTCGCGTTAATTGCAAAATATCAAATCTATTTAATTGTAAAGACCAAAATTTCTAATTGTATTCTAATATGTTTTTGATTCTCGTTCCTTCGTAATTGATTGTCAAAAATTATTAATTTTGATTATTTGAATTGTACATAGTCTTCGTTAAAAAATAAGTTCTGTTGCCTTAGAAAGGAGAAACTAGAGCGTATATCAATTATTTATTATTATTTATGACAGTTGATTATTATTAACGCCAATTTAATGCTCATATGCCTCGAGATAATAGCTCCCATTAGTCTGTGTCGTTTGGTATAATTAACACTTTGAGTCCAGCGAATTACATTGCAAATCCCACCGCGATGTTAATACGCTCTCCGGATTCAAAGTATTAATTAGTGTGTTGTATATTAATAATGTATCTATAAATTGGAGAAATGTCGGAGCAATATATTTATTGTCAAGTTATTACTCTTGCTAACAAAAATATTAAATTCTATTAATATTCATTTCAAAATTCATCGTAATTATTTTGAAAATCTCCAAAGCTTATCAATTTATTATTGCAATTATCAAAATATCAGTTCTATAAATAATTCGATTGCAATATCAATATTAAGATGATAAACCCTCGATGATATAGATAGAATAGATCCTTAAATAAGATACAAAAATGACGTCGCTATATATCTTCCACGATTTCTCTTTAATATTTTATCCGTCAGACATTGTCCATCCGTATTGATGGATTGCGGTAAACTACGTCTTAAATCTTAAGAAATAGGTCGATCCAAAGGATGTGTTTACTTGATAGCTCGCGGTACTTTTGAAAAACGCTAAGACAGAAAACGCTCACACTCAAACTACGAAAGTTTTCATCGAACGTACGTCGACATCCCCGAGTAGAACTCGCATCGGAAAGTATGTCCCGATTGTGACTTCGAAGTTTTGTCCGCTACGCTAATACTGGGTGGTCAGATAGAAATCACAAATTCGTTCAGCAAAATATATAGATTGGATTTAAATTGTAGGACTTAAATTATACATATTACATGTATCAATCGCGATTCGAGAAACAAAAAATAAAATATAAAGAAAATAACTATTCCGACATAAAATTATTATCTGTTAACCCATTAAATTTGCATATAATCAAAGTATTGTCAAAAATTGATCCACATTAAATATAAAAATATTCTATAATTTTCTTTCACTTTCTTAGATACAAAGAATTAAATTTATTCTATAAATACGTTTATTCCTCAATTTTTATTTTGTCATCCGATATACAAGTGCATGCATACGTGTGGAGTAGAGTCGAAGACGTTGAGAAACTTTGACGATAACGCAGGACAATATGTGAGGAATGTTCTTTCCGTTTTCTACAAATATCGATCCATAGAGAGAGAGAACTAACCTCTCTCTGGCTTAATCAAAGGTAAAAAAATTTTTTTAAAAATTGACTAAGAAATTACGGAGAAACTTTTCCAAATTGAATCAAACCGGATGCAGTAAAACCTGTCGTGAATGTTGCATTTTTTCTTAAACAAACTGCATTGTTTGCGCAAAAGCATCGCTGCGCAATTTGTTTGTCGACCGAGATAAAAAGTGTGCGAGTGTGTACGTTTTTATCTATTCCGGCCGTTTGTTTTAATCTCGTAATGCGTGTTTTCGCACAACACACCATCGAAATATCGTTCCATGAAATGAATACTATCGACCCTCTCGCAAATATTTTTCTTCTCGAAGTACAAGCGTTCTACACAAGAAAGATAGAAAATTTTTAATGCTGCTGATATATTTGTGTATTCTTTATTGTAAATTGCATTTGCCAAACATTTCCATAAACAAATTTTTAAGAAAAAAATATATAAACAAATAAATAAAAAAGTAAATTATTTTGCATAAAAAAACACAATAAATCTAAATCTAATCTCAATATAATAATTATTACCAAATCAAATATATAAATCTTTTTTAAATTAATAATGAAAATTTTGTATTCAATAATAAAATTTTGTATTCAATTTTTAATCGTAAAAATAATTTTATGATTTTGTAAGATATTATATGCATTTAATATAATTACATAATATATAATTATCGAATCAATTTTTGTTACAATTTCATAGTTTGGAATAATAATATAGGTATATACTGGTTTTCTGTTTTAACAATGCCACGTTTCTATGTTAACAATTAAGCAAAAATAGAGAACTTGCGTAGAAAAGGTCTAGCTTTATGTTCCGAACCACTATCATGATATGTGAAAAGCGTTAACCGCAAAAGGAATTTTAATCTTTCAGTCAAGCTCACGCGTCTGACTCGTAATCTTTTATACTACTGAATTTCTCTTCAGGAAAACCGTCGTGAAATCATACTCATCAAATCATATGCATTATTCTAATAATTCAATCAAAACGGACTCCAATTTTACGCTTCACACAATTCTTTTATAAATGTACGAGCGATTTTTCTCATCCGTGAAACGTCGAGTTA